AGGGGAAGGGAAAAAAGGGAAAGGAAAAAATATGAGAAGGGGAAAAAAATGGAAACAAGGTCTTTGCAAATAGGGAAGGGTGGAGAGGGTGAAGGGAGGGCAAGGGAAAGGGAAAAAAAATAAGAACCAAGAGACTTATGTAATGGTACAAGATCCCAATGATGAATGTAACTGTATTGAATACCTAAAATGTACCAATAAAGTTAATGGGAAAAAAAAAGAAATTGAAACTCAGAGAGCATTCACTAGCAGACCCCAGTGAATGCAAATCTTCAGAATGTACTGACAACAGAAACCATGACTGCTTATCTCTAGTACCTAGACCCTCAATACTCAAAATGTGGTGCATGGACCAGCTGTGTGGACATCTCTCAGGACCTTGTCAGAAATTCAGAATCTCAGCTCTCTTCCTAGCTCTGTAGAATCAGAGTCTGCATTTTTAATAAAATCCTCTATTTTTTTGTTCCTGCACATGCTAATATTGGAGAAGCACAGGCCTTGGGCATTGCTAGTATGTTGGAGGGGCTTTCCTGTCACCAGTTGAGACTGGTGAGGTTCGTTTGAGATTCAGACAGCCCAAAGAAGAGACAGAGCTGTGGACTGAATTAGACATCTTTATTCTCAGCTGCTCAGCTCAGCTCACCTTGTCTGCCCAGCCCACCAGCCAACCCTATGTGTCGAACTGCCACACACACATTCTCAGGCACACAACCTCTTAGCTCCTCAGCCACCTAGCCAGCCTGCCAGCTCTCATAGCAGTTGAATTTATACTAAAATACACAGTCATGGCTATCCTCCAGTGTCGACCTTGGTTACATAAGTTATTTACTCTGAGGCCACTAGGTCCACCTGTGCTGGAATTCTACTGCCTTTGGATTTAGGGAGTCCTGGAAATCACCCCCCGCACACACACACACAGCCTGAACTATAGTGTAGCCATCTTGGGCTTCATTTTTCCCTACAGTGTTCGGTAAATACTTATCAAAAGTTGAAAGAATAAATATTTTCATAGCTGCCCCCTCTTAGAACAAAATCAGTCAAAAACACCCCTCCCCAAATGAAATTCCCTGTGATGGTCTCAGATATTTGTTTGTGAAGGCTAATCTTACATGTAGATTATTTGCCAGGAGTGTTTTCAGGGATATGGATTCAAAGTTCAGGAAAAGTCTCTGACTCTACCCTAGGTGGGGGCAAGCAATTGCAAGGGCTACTAAGAAGACCTTATCCCAAACAAGACAGTGAACTATAAAGAAAGCTTTTTTGTCATGGCCATTAGATGGCTACCAAGCCCTACAGAGCCCCCTTTATCTCAGCTGAACTTCATCTTCTTGACTCAAGCATCCAGACATGTTAAAACACAGCCCTAATCTACAAACCCACCAATAGAGACAGTGATTTTTGAAAGGAACAGTAGTTTTAGGCACAGGCCCTTTGGAAGGTATGTTAATAAAACATTATCCCCCACATACTGCACTGTACAAACATTGTTAGATTTATCTCACCCTTACAACTCTAAGAAACCTGCAAGGCAGGAGATATAGCCACATTACCTGTGTTTTCAAGTCAACAGCCCTTGACTCGGATCCTGCTCTTTTATACATAAATGATACCGGAAGTGATCTACATTGTATATGGAACCTCTTCAACAGCAGTGTGGTGTCTCCTTGCAAGACTGGTTCTTGTACATTTGCTAAACTTTACAGACACTACTCGTTTAACGACTGGGTTCTGTTCCTCCAACTAGGTTATTAAATGAATTGGTGGCTAAATGAGGGATTGTCTATAGTTACATACATTACAATATTCAAAACAAAAAAACGGTCAGAGGAAACTCCAACTTTATGACCGTGCTTTTATTTGCATAACTCTAACATGCAGTACTGTGGTGTATAACAGAACATAAAACTACAGTACTGTACTGTACAGTAAGTCCTCGAATTATAAGCATTAGAGTTGCAAACTTTCACAGATGTACTGTATAAGACTGACTTTGTCACATATGAATGAATCCAGAACATTATCCATGAATGGAACTCATTCATAAGTCAGGGACTTAATGTATATTAAATCAATCATCACCAAGTCAAAATTGACATTAGAGCCACAGCACCAATATCATTTAATACCACTAGGTGGCAATATATCCTATTAACCTTTTTTCAAGTTGTATCCCCAGCAATAGCATAAACATTTCATCAACTTGGACATGTATTTTTGACTTTGAGTTATTTCTCATCCTCGTTGAGCCTTTATGAGAAAATTTATCAGTTTTGTAAAAGCCATAGAACTCAAATTATTCCCTTTAGAGAAAGGTGACTTCTCTAAAGATTTACTTTCTCAGTGCACTCTAGAAAGCTAGAGGTGAGAGTTTAACCCTGAAGCAACTATGCCATTCCTTATGAGGAAATTGCTATCCAGTCATTGTTTCTGGTTAATTTTGTTTTTATATTGAAGGTAGTGTTGAGAGAACAGCAAAGGAGACCTTATTAAAATTTCCAACTTATTTCTTATTAATATCTAAAATTACAAGTCAGTTGTTTAAATTCATGGTGGTATTTGTTAATCACGCTTCAGAGTAGGCTATAAACAATTACCTCTTGCCCTCAAAACTGTCCACTGAAAAATAGATTGCTTCACCCTTATGCACTATATCATCAATATTGTTTTTCTTAATATTTCTTCTTCTTTTATATATGTTTGGGATAGGTTTTAAAATTTACATCAAACTTATACTTTTACGATTGATTCATCTTTACAACATCTCTGGAAATGATTTCCTAGTTTATTCTTAAATACTTAGAGACTGGGAGACCTCCCTACCTTTGAAAACAATCCATTTGTAGGAATAGTGCTAATTAAACCTTCAATGACTAGTGATTCCTTTTTGGAACATCCATACCAATGGAACATAATGAAATGTGTTCTTTTCAAATTTTAGGTAGCATATGTGAACTTCATGCAAAAATTCAAACAATTTCAATCTGGCATAAATGGGTTAAGGTGATAATGACTCTCATTTAGGGTTATGTGTCAAGTATATCCTAAGTTTTTTTGTTTGTTTTTCATATGAAAATATCAGACATGTTTCTGTTGCTTACTTGCTAAATGCATTCAGCTTTTTCTTCTAGCCTTCATGATACCCAGAATCAAATAAAGATTCCAGATACCAGTTATTACTTTCCTTGTACTACCTTTGATACTTTTACTGGGTCACTCCAAAGATGGAATATGTTATAAAAATGAAAAGTAATAATGTGAAAGTTTAAATACAGTCACAGAGGTTTGAAATTTTATATTTTAGAAATGCTGTAGTTGGGCTGGTGATCTAGCTCAGTGGTAAAGCACTTGCCAAGCAAATATGAGATCCTGGGTTCCATCTCTAGCACTGCAAAAAAAAAAGCCAGTAAAAATAGTAGGCTAAAATGCTTTAGAATTCTGGTTCTTGAGCTATAGCTAACGAACTAAGAATGTCAATAACCACAAATGAAAGCAATCACTTGTCTCTCATCAAGTTCCAATCTTTATGAAATTGATTGGAACCTGGATATTGTCCAGCAACTCTGAAGACAGTTACATAAGTGACATATATTTTGAGAGAAAACAAAACCCAAATCTTTTGTCCAAAGTTGGATTTCATTTAATGTTTATTTAATAAATTAATTTGTTTCAGGGAGCTCTGGAACGGAATGAAAGCAAGATTCTTCGCATCCAGCTTGAGCTCTTGGAAGCTAAAGCAGAACTTGAAAAGAAGCTTTCAGAGAAAGAGGAAGAAATAGAAAATTTCAGGTATTTAAAATTATTCTGATGAGCAGCAGTTACATATTTCAGAATCCTTGAATAACTAGAACTCATCATGTTTAGTTGCTTTCATGACACTTGTTGGGCTATCACTGAAAAAATTTAGTCTAACTCTACACTAGATTTTCTATTAAGTGTACCCTTGTTAATATAAAGTAATACCCATGCATAATTACTACTATTTTTATGATTTTCTTATATTCAAGCAGCTTCTAATCTCATATAAAACATGCACACAATAAATATATGTATAAAGACTCTGTTTACTCTCTAGGTCTCATTGTCACAACTGTCTTGGGCATTCAAGAAATTAATAACGCTGAACCATGGAGGAAAGGACTAAAACCTGGATGCTGAATACTAAAGTTAATGCAACTTCAGAGAGAAATTTTCACATACTCCTGCCTGTTTCTGCAGCCATTTGCTTGAGGAGCGCAGAGCCATCTGTGTGAAGTAAGTTATCTTTGCTTTCTCTCACTGGCATTTTTCTTCCCAGAACTCACTGTAGAGAGGAATTCTTATCTAATGAAGAAGCTAAGAGTCAGTGTCTAAAAGGATTTTTTTTTGACAAAGAGCAAAATCATTGGGCCTTGATGTTTATCTTACTTCCTCTTATGAGGAGCAAAAATGAGTATCTCCTTGTGTAGTTAAAAAAAAAAACCAATAAAACCTAAAAATTTGATTTCAGGTTGCATCAAACCTGTGGCTATAAATAAACCAAGATGAAAACAAATCATTAGGAAAGTCTGTGTCTCAAAAGGTACATCTGAATGTTGTAGAGCAGTTTACCAATTATAATAATCTTAGTGCAAAGAAAGCCAGAGATCCAACAATCAAGGTTAAGAGAAGAAAGAATTGAAGAGAGCGTGAGCTGTGAAAGGGCTGGAAAACAGAAGGGGTGGGCAACAGGCTGAGGATGAGCTCTTCTTAAATTTTCTTCAATGATTCATAGTAACAGTAATAGGAACATCAGAAAGGAAAAGTGAGTATATCTCACAAACTATCACAAATAACATCCCAGACCCTTTTCACTCTGAGTATGGACTGTATCAAATGCCCTGGTTTACTCTAATGGTTAAATATGACTTCAGGGCTAGGAGAAAACTGAGTAGAATGCCAGGCAGAACTAAGCACAAGCAAAAAATTCAAAAAAATCAAGGATAAACCAATAAATTATGAACCTTGAAGAAAATAATTTCCTGAGGGCAAGATAGTTTCAATGTCCTATATCCACAAACCACCCCCCAAAAAAATTTTTTTAAAAAACAAAAAACCCTTAGCAACTCCACAGAAACTGAAGCAATCTGTTAAGATAGGACTCAGGAAAGTTAAGGGACCAAGAAAATCACAGAAAAGAGATCTAAAGGAAAAGGTCAAACCTTGATAGTTCACAAACTGTGAAACTCATTCAACTCCTTCTCTGCTGCCAAGCTGTTTGATAGTCTGGCAAAGTCAGCCTGAGTGAGCCCAACCTGGAGGCCTGGTGAATTATTTTAGCAGGTAGTATCATGTGATATATTTCACTTCTTTACAAATATTTTTGTTCTTAATGGTGCCAGAAACTGTGCCTGTTAGTCTAGTCAGAACTGTTTAAGCTTTTGTGGATGATACAGGTATTTTTATCTTTATTTCTATTAATGTTTATTATTAGCATAGTTGGAGGGAGGTGACAGTGCAGTCACAACTGATGGAAATGGGGAAGAGCTTTGATGACCAACTTTGATCTCCATTCTAGACACAGGAAAGGAGACCACTTTTAGGACCATCTGGTACCCATATTGCCATGTACAGAAAGCCTTTCCATCAAGACGTTTCTGAAAACGTGTTGGTCAGGTACAATTCAAATCACCAGGCACCCCAGCTATAGTTTTCTCCTGGCTATTCTAGGAAATGCCACAATGGTAAGAGTCATCACACATATCCTACTTACCCCAGGAATTCCTTATTATATCATAGTACATTTGTTTACTTTGGTTTGATGGCCTATGCTATGGAAAGGCTAGAGAAACTTTCTGTATTGGGTCAGATTGTAAATATCTTCAGCTTTGCAAGCCATATGGTCATGGTGCAAACCACTCAGACCTGCAGTTGTAGCTTGAAAGCAGCCCTTGACAATAGGGAATCAAATGAGTATGGTGGATTTGGCCTATAGCCCATGGTTTGCCCACCCTTGTCTGTAGCCTCAGGTATCTGGTGATCGTCTATTGTCTTTTCCTTCCATATGATGCACTCCTCTTAACTCAGTCATTTCAAATTTTGCCAAAACTCAGACATGGTATTTCGTTCTCAAACATACCTTGTTCATCATTTTAAAGGTGAATTGCACATATTCGGATTAAGGAAAATCTCATGTTTCTGTGAGATAAGCAATGTTGAAAGAGAAATATAGCCTGTTGAATTGTTGATTTTAAATTATTAGCTTTTCAAAGTTTTAAGTTTGTGTCCTGATTTTTAAATTTAGCTTCTTTTCTCTGTTGTGTGTTTTGTTTTAGAAAGAAAAGAAACTCCTTGCTATGCTGCCCTTGGTCATGAAGGTTTCATTTTTCTTTGAAAAAATGTGTTTTGGGGAGTTTTCACTCAGCATTTTTTGTATATAAAATGTATTTTGTGTATAAAATGCATTGATTGTTTAGCCACCATTCTCCAGGCCTATATTATTTCCATTCCTCTTAAGCCACATTATGTTTTCTTGCCTGCAGACACTCAAGATATTTCATAAACAACTGTGGTAAAACTAGCATTTGAAATATTCAGTTGGTCTATTGCAGTGGACTTTACTTCTGTACAGAGAACTTTGACACCAGCCAGGGATGCTCTATTCTAGGGAGAGGTAGCCTTGGAAAAAGTGAATTTCTCCATAGGAAGACAGAGAATTATCTTAAAATTTTCAGCGATGATGCATATGAATGTCATATGATTCATATGATGCATATGAATGCATAGAAGTTTGCTTGGGCGGCTATCGCGAAACACACAGACTGAGTGGTTACACAGCAAAAATCTATTTTCTCTTGGCTTTGGAGTCTGTAAATCTGAGATCAATTTGTTGGCAGGTTTGATTTATCCCAAGGCTTCTCTCCTTGCCTTGCAGACAGATGGTTACCTTCTTATTCTGTTCCCACAGGGTCTTTCCTCTCTGTGCACCTGTCCCTGGTGTCTCTTCCTCTCCTGGTGAAGACACCAGTCCTGCTTGATTAGCTCTGCACCATAATGGCCTAATGTTTATTTTAATTACTCTGTTAAAGTCCCTGTCTATAAACACAGTCATATTCTGGGATACTCAGGTATAACAAATGACTTTTGAGGAAAAATAATTTATCACATAAACATTCCTATTAATTTTAATTGCTCACAATCCTATATGATTCTGATCTGGAAGCTGAACAAAAGCCCAGCACCTAAGGATAGGCACGAAAGGTCAACCTTAGTTTGTGGGGTCAGGAGAAATGGGGCTGCAGAGGAACAGTGCTAACCCTGAGATATGGAGCCAGAAAGTTATTCCCACAAATTTCTAAACTGCTTTTGAGGACCTGCTAGAAGAGAGACAGATGCTCGTATCATGTAGGCCCCTTCCTGTGGTCCATTTGCAGACTCTGACTACATCCTACTCCCTGCAAGCTGCTTGTCTTCCTGATCCATTTCAGAGGTCGGGATACAGGCTCTGTGACAACTCAATATAGAATCTATTTCTGACCCAAGACAAATACATTTTTGCTATTTGTTCTGAAATATGCTATGAGATGGGATAGAAGGTCTTTTCTTCCTCTCATCTACCTTACCTATCCAGGGCCTTGTTTCATGGGATGAGCTTAACAGTACACATGTTAGTGATAACAATCAACTGTCCTGGCGAACAACCTCCTAATCTTGGTAGGTTAAAATAATAGAAGTTCAGTGTGGGGTAGGAAATAAAGTTATCTACCTTTCATAGCAATGCAAGAAGTCAGATTCCTTTTGTCTTGTGATCACAGATAGGGACCAGAGATTGCAGGCTCCCACAAGTGTAAACATTTGTGTGGGTGAGGCTTTTAATGGAATACTTCACTCTAGCTCAGTCAGCCATATAGTCCCCAACTATCTGCAGGAGGACTAGGTATTGACAATTGTCATGGCTCCCCTTAACATTTTCACTGCCCTCCTAAACACACAGCTATTTTCTCAGGTTCAGTCACTTTAAAGGCAGATATGGTTTTTGTTTTTATGAAGAAATATCAAAGTAATTCAATATCACATTGCAACTGGTTTTCTCAGCCAATTCTTGTTCTCTCAAACTCCTAGAGAAAAATAAACCTTCTATTCAAGTACAGCTAATGTCTGTAGGCTATTAGAGCAGTATTGATGGAACTTAGGGTTTTTTCAACCTCAGTAGCTCTCTTCTGCCCTGCTAAGACATTTTTCACCATTGCAAGTAGTTCAAATATTATGGCCGTCTAAAAAAAAGCATATGTTCTTCACTACTAGCCACTCTTGGAAATCTGAGGGTTTACTCTTGATCATCCTTTAGAGGGTCTCAGATCAGGCTACTATTGACCCACAGGAACCTTGAAAAGATTCTAGAGCTGTCTGATTCTTTATACAGGTTGGTCTGTAAACCTTCCTTAGTCTGTTATGACCTACACAGACTCATTAGCCTCACCTCTCACTCTATTTATAAAACGAAAACCCTTTAGCTTCATTTTTGTTAATTACCTAGACTTTTGTTTTGAATTTTACTTTTTTCCTTTTCCTAAACTGTTGTGCACATAGCAAGTAAATTTTCTTAATTGGGGTATGTGATATTTTCCCCCTAAATATTATTCTAAAATTAGGAGGAAGCAGCAGTGTACTATTGATGCTCTGCAGTCTATTCTGGATTCTGAAGCTAGGAGCAGAATTGAGGCTATCCAGCTGAAGCAGAAGATGGAAGAGAACCGCAAGGACATGGAACTCCAGATTTGCTCTGCTAACCACCAGGTGTCTGAGGGAATCAAATCCCTGGGCCAGCTTCAGAGTCAAATGAAGGTATTTTCAATTTGTAGTGTGGGGTTGGGGTTGAAATGTTTCTTTTTACAGGAGCAAACTAAGTAACATTGTATTGAGCAATAAATGTAAGGACAACAGATCTCATCCATCAAGAGAGTGGAAACATGCATACATTCAACATGTAGGGAACATGTAGGTGGAGCTCTCTCAGCATGTACACATGGGTGCCCATCCCATGTGGAACAGAAGGCTCTGTGCTCCAAGTCCACGTCTTCTCTCACAGGACATGCAAATGAAGCTGGATGACAGCACACACCTGAACAGTGATCTGAAGGAGCAGGTGGCTGTGGCTGAGCAGCACAACTCTCTTCTTCAGTCTGAACTAGAGGAGCTGAGGTCCTTGCAAGAGCAGACTGAATATGGGCACAAGATGGCCAAAAAAGAGCTCCTGGAAGCCACAGATAGAATCCATCTTTTTCATATCCAGGTGAGATCATAAAGTCTCTCCTCTAGCAGGGCCAGCCAGGTGTCTGGAAGCAGTGGTTCCCACCTCTGGTCAGCCTTTGCCAAGCCCAGTTGCCACATCAAGGCTGGGATGTGGCACAAGAGGCACAGGGAGAACTTGTGCAGTGGAGCAGTCTGTTCCTAAGTATGTTAATTTCCCAGGGCTGATGTAGCAAAGCAATGGATGACTTTAAATGGTGGGAGTTTATTCTCTCAGAGTCCTGTTTGATGTTAGGCATCCAAGATCAATGCTGTGCTCCCTCTGAATCCTGTGGGATATTCCTTCTTTGTCTCTTAGCTTCTGGTAGCTTACAGGTAGCCTTTGGCATTCCTTGTTTTTTTGATGCATCTCTCCAATCTCTCACCTTCAAATGGCGTTCTCTTTTTTTGGTACTGGGGATTGAACTCGGGTCCTTGCACTTGAGGGGCAGGTGGCAGAACCACAGAGCTAAACCCCTGGCCACATGGCATTCTCTTTGTGTGAGTTCCCATCATCTCTCTGTGTCAGTCTCTGTCCAGATTTCCACTTTTCATGAGGATACCAGCCACTTTGGTCCACCCTAATGACCTCATTTTAACTTTATTACCCCTTTCAAGGCTCTGCTTCCAAATAAGGTCATATTCTGAGAAACCAGGGGTTAGGAGTTCAACATACTTTCTTTTGGGAGGCACAATTTACCATAACATTAAGCCTTCTCCTAGGACAATGAACTGCCAGGGAATTGAAACTCAGTACACCAGAGAGGGAGAAATGAACATACTGAATCCTTGTCTTCCATAAGTACTTACCTCATTCTTCTGCTCTCTCTTAGCTACTTGCTTGCTCGACATCCCAGGAAAAACTACTTCTTTCCAGGGCCAGGAATCTCTAAAATTTCTAAATGGCCACTGACAGAGAGGATGAGGTGCCAGTAAAGTACTTTAGCTTCATATGTACTCTGGTGATGTGAAGCACAATTTTTAGATTCTTTACTATTGTCCTGGAATCAGGAGAAGCCATAGTGGCTAGGATAAGGATCTGTAGTAAATGAGTCATACAATAAGCACTCACTGTAACCTGGACAGGTAAGCCTATGTAGATACAAAATGTCTACACTCTTACCATATAACGATGAGCTAAGTAAATAATTGTAATTATGCATTGAGTGTAGTGAAAGAAAAGTACATCCCTATAGAAAGCTTTCTCCGATAATCCTAGACTTAGCACTGATGGGCTTCATGAGTTATAAAAGACATGGAAGACATTATCCAGGTAGGGAGAAAATGAAGGTAGAGACATGGAGGGAGAGAGAATTCACATTTTAAGAAAAGCTCACATATTGAGAGCATAGGAATTGGTAGAAAAGATGAGCAGAAATGATGCCAAGAGTCAGGTGTGGTCAGGTTGCCAAGGGCCTTGAGTATGAGGCTGACGAGGATTGAATTTTACCTGCAGATAATATGAAACTACTGAAAAATGTTGACTAGCTGGAGTGAAGTTATCAAGTTTACATTTTAGAAAGTCTTCGTTAGTGATGTAAATGATAGATGAAAGCAACTATCGACAATCTCCTGTGCTTTGAGGTGTTTAAAAACATCTAATGGGGTCATTTTGGTTCCCATAATGACTGGGAAGTGCCACTAGCATTTAGTGGGCAAAGTTCAGAGATACTAAAACTCCTTCAAGGTGCCAGATAATCCCACATTACAAAGAATTACCCTTCACAGAATGCTGGTTGTGCCCCCCTGAGAAATACTAGATCAAAGGATATGTAAACCAGAAATGTACCTGCCAAATGTGCTGCAATTAGTTTGTGCCTTCAACTTAACTTTTGTGTCCATGTGTATGATAGAATCCCAGCTGGGTACCATTGGGTATAGAACAAATAAGATGTAGGTTATACATTCCAGCAAACTAAGTGACTTCAATATTTTCTTCAGCTGAAGGTATATCTCAGTAGGAGAACTCTTGTCTAGTATGTGCAAGGTCCTGGGCTGGACTCTAGCTCTTAGGGGGGAAAAAATTTATTTTTTCATGAAGAAAATTTATCTCGGTACAGAGTGTTGAATTATTATAAAGTGGAATATTCAACTTTTTAAAAAGTAAATAATCCACTGTCTGTAGTAATTAATACCCACTGATGATAAATAACATGGTATGTATGGTATATTCTAACTCATAATGCTTAGTAGATTACAATGTCAAGAAATAAATTTAGGGAGAAAGAGAGGGAAGGAGGGAGAGAGAAAAGGAGGGAAGAAAGAGAGAGAGATTGATTTTGAGCAGAGGAAAAGCTAACATAGAGACAAGAAAATTTTGAGTGAAAAAATGAAAATTCAGAAGTGGAGACCTTGTAGGTAGGGCAGAGTTTCTGAAAATTAGAGTAAACATTTCAGTAATACAAAATGCCAATTCTCAGATCTCACTACAGATCTGTTGAATCAGATGCTCTGTAGTGAGAGCCAGGATCACATCAGTCCTTGGAACTGTAAATAGTCTTTGACCAGCATTGGTCAAGGTGGCATACTGCTCTCAAGGACCTTTTGCTTAGAACAAACATATGAGATAGAACTTATCTTTGGCTGAAGATATGTGCCTCCCTTTCAAGGCTGAACAGTAATAAGATAAATACTCCCTAACTTCCTTCCTCCTAAAAATAAATGAATCAGAGTCACTCAGCTTGCAGAAGTTTTAAACATTTTTCCTAGCAGATTTTAAATAATTCCATATGTTAACAAATCAGTGTTTGAGTGTGCCTTCCTTTACAAAGAAAGAATTCCTGGGGAGTTACCTGAAGTGAGCATCCAAAATACACTTCCTCCACCCATGGAAATGGAAATCCTACCTGCATAGGGCCAGGCTCACCACAGGACCAAAGGGAAAATCTTGGTGGTGACTCATGTCATGGAGGAGGAGGCAGGCAGAACCCATGAGGCTGGAATTCCTGTCTTTCTATTTCCAAGGCTTAATCCTGCACCCCCAAAAAATCTCTTGCTAGAGAAAAAGGGAAGGATGAAGTGAAAGAAATAAAACACAGAAAGACTGTGTCTTTTATACACATGCTCTGTGATAAGATTTCACATGCTCAGAAGAGTTAATATTCAGACACAGACTGGGTACAGCAAAGAGAGATTTTACCTCTAGTTTCAAAACTCAGGAAGGAAAGAATTAGAGCAGCAGCAGGTGCAGAACACAAAGTGTCCTCCTTTTAATGACGGCTGGGAATGAAGACTCTTGTGAACTTACCTTACTGCAGGGTAAAACAGGAAAGCAAGTAGATGAATGAAGAGGAGGAATTCTGTTTTTCTTCTGAGCATTCTTAAAAGTGTGATTTTTGTCCTGCAATCCCCCTGCTTCCCTGATGACTGCAGGTGACTCTGACTTCTGTTCTGAGATAGTTTGTTTCTTTGTTAAACAGCACAGGGCAGAAAAATATTCCTTAGCAAGTTCAAAACTAAACCCATGTTGGACTTGTAAGTTATCTGGGATGCATTTCTTTTGTCTGATTCAGGCTGCCTTCTCTTTAGTCCTGAACCTCTAAATGGATGAAATCCCTTCTGTTCAGTTGTAACTCCTGGGCTTAGGGGGTCTTGCTTAACTGAATATGGCTGACATTGGTAAACCTTGGCCCTTGGCCCGAGCTGCCTTCTAGATAATGAGCTAAATGGACCAACTTTCATTTGAATTGCTGGTTTCAACTAAAGGTCCCATTTGACCCAGCTATTCCCATGCTGGGTATCTTCCCAAAAGAACTAAAAGAATCATACCACAGTGATATATGTGCACCCATGTTTATAGCGGCACAGTTTGTAATAGCTAAAGCTTGGAAGTAGCCCAAGTGCTCAACAATTGGAAACTGGATAAAGAAAACGTGTTTTTTTTTTAAATAAAATGGAGTACTACTCAGCCATAAAAAATGAAAAACTAGAGTCATTTATAGCTAAATGGATGTATATCGGGGCCATACTGTTAAGTGAAATAAATAAGACACACATGTGAAAATACCAAATAGTTTCTCTAGTGTGAGAAACAGAGTATAAACAAGGGTTAAAATGATTAAAATGAATAATTGACAATTTGAAATAGGAAAAAAGGTCCAGAGACATAGGGGTGAAGGGAGGGGAAGGGGAAGGGAAAGAAGGGAAAGGAAAAATTATGAGAAAAGAAAAACAATGGAAATTAAGTCTATGTAAATAGGGAAGGGTGGAGGGAGTGAAGGGTGCACAGGTAATGGGGAAAAAATAAGAATCAAGATACATCATGTACAGGTACAAACACCCAATGATAAATGTGAACGAATTGTATATCTAAAATATACCAATAAAAGAATTTAAGAAAAAAAAAGGTAGCTGCTTTTCCTTAGAATACAAGCCTCCTCACCCAGAAGAAGAAACTAGAGGCTGACATTGCTCAGTTGCAAAAAGATGCTGAAGAGATGGTGCAAGCATGTCAATGCAGAAGAAAAGACCAAAAAGGTAGCCACTGAGGTGGGTCTATTGATTGCCTGCTTGGTCTGACTTTCCAGAGTTCACTGCACCAGTAACCCAGAAAATGGGCCAATATGCAGCCCTAAAAGCTTCCATTGATTCCCCATTCAGTCAGACAGAAGTAAGCTGACAACTCTGCCTCCCTGTTTTCAGCTTTAACAATTTGGCCAATTAGCTCCTACCTTCCAAACTACCCAGAAAATGAAAAGGAGCAGTTGAACTGTTATAAGGAAAATCTTGTGAATATAATTTTTTTAAGTTTACCAATTTTCCAATATAAGTTGTGTCTAAGCAGGTGATAGGCCTGAGGGGGGGAAAAAGCTATGGAAGGAGGAAATAGAGGCAAATTTGTGTGGGAGGGAGGGAGGATTACAGGTCCCAGAGCTTGCTAAGTGGGACTGGGTTGGATTTCAGACTCTCTTCACACCTCAAGAAGAACTTTTACACAGCCCATCAAGTGCACAACAGACATAGCAGCCTTGACCTTGTTGTATGAAGAAAATATGACTCACTGTGGGAGGTGGGGAGACAGAACCTTCAGTTAAATTTTACTTAAACTTTGGTGAATTTCTGCAGTCACACATTATGGAAGACACTCTCTGCTCAACGTTGGATTTAAAAGATTTTCTTTACAGTGTTGAAAAGTAAACCCACACAGTCATGCTGAAAACACCGAATCAGCCCACTACAGACAGGCAGGTCTGCAGACACGGTCCCGAGGTCGCCAGTCATGCTGAAAACACCGAATCAGCCCACGCCCAAGCAGCAATCCACTGGACAACCCACACACACTCCTTTGGCCTCATTTCTGTACAGCCACCTGGTTCCACACTACAAAGATGCAGAGGACACTGGTGCACCAGACCTCTGTACTGGAGCTAATCAAGTTCTCAGCATTTAAAGAATTCCTGCCCAGAGGTAGGGGCTTCTGAACTGCCATCCCGCCGCTCCTGGAACAGAAGAAGGGGCTTTTGGGCCACCATCACT